AAAAAAAAAAAAAAAAAGAAACAAAACCATGTTGAAAAAGAACCTTTTTCAACTACAGAAAAAAGTAGCTAGTGAGACATTTATCTCAAGCATAACCACAGAAAATTGACTTTAACAGGTTGACAGTTCCTAATCTGACAAATCAAAAATCAGAAATGTTCTAAAATCCAAAACTTTTGGGGTGTCAACATGGTACTAAAAAGAAATGCTCAATGGACCATTTTTCCAGATTTTCAGGTTCAGGATGCTGACCTAGTGTGTGTGATACAGACACAGGTTTGGCAGAAGTGATGCCCTCTGGATGCTATCCTGTTACAGAAATACTTGCTTATGATTTTGTAATAAAAGACTGGTATAGATTACCAGCTTGCTAAAAGGGGGCATTATGAGGCTGGGCACAGTGGGTCACACCTGTAATCTCAGCACTCTGGGAGGCCAAGACAAGTGGATTGCCTAAGCTCACAAGTTCGAGACCAGCTTGAGCTAGAGCAAGACCTAGAGCAAAAAATAGCCAATTGTGGTGGGTATCTGTAGTCCAGCTACTTGGGAGGCTGAGGCAAGAGAATAGTTTGAGCCCAGGAGTCTGAGGTTGCTGTGAGCTATACTATGGCTTTCTATGAAGGATGACAGTGAGACTCTGTCCGAAAATAAATAAATATTTAGGGGCATTATTTGTGCTGCCATTTATAATTTGCATGTAATTTTGTAAAATAATATCACACTTAACCACAAAAGGGCATTACTTCTGCTGGGCCCTGTATTGCAAAATAAATAAAAATCCAAATTTTATAAAACTTTTTCTGGGTCCAAGCACTTCAGATGAGGGATATCCAATTAGATACATATAATAGGTAATAATAATTCAGACAACTATAAATTTCTTGTCAGAAACTATGAAGGCCAAATGACTGGGCAGAAAGAAATTTGTATCTAGAGTAGTATGTCCCATCAAAAACATCAGGAATGCAGACTAAAATAGATACTCGTATATGAAGGGAAACTAAGCTAAACAAGAAATGCTAAAAGTTAAGGCTCAGCGCCCATAGCACAGTGGTTACAGCACCAGCCACATACACCAAGGGTAGCGGGTTTGAACCCAGCCCAGGCCAGCTAAACGACAATGACAATTGCAACAAAATGGGTGTTGTGGCAAGCGCCTATAGTCCCAGCTACTTAGGAGGCCAAGGCAAGAGAATCACTTAAGCCCAAAAGTTGGTGGTTGCTGTGAACTGTGATGCCAGAGGACTCTATCCAGGACTCTGTCTCAAAAAAAAAAAA